GACTGAGCTGGAGCGACACCAGTGACGATCATCATATAAGGTGGTAGGGCTGCGTGGTCTCGTGAAATGGATGTTTCAGTTAAAACGATACAGCTGACGAGGCCGTGAGTACCGTTACGAACAAGCTGGTGTGAAGAAAGTATAATAAAGCTGATAGGAATATGGATTCCGTAATAGCTACTTACGTGATTGGGTATATAAAACTGTCAGGGATGTTAGTTTCAGACCACACGACTGTAAAGACTGCCTTTATCAACCATATGCAAAAAACCACGTGGCACCATTGCTACGTAATAAACCACGTGGAAGAATTGGACGGATTAGCGTAGTTACGAAACGAATTAACAAACCAGACTGTCTTAGCTTCAAGAACTACAAGGCAGGTGGTACAGCTGGAGTACCTGCTACTGTTATGTAACAAACCATCCGATCTAGCTACATATAACAAATCAGGTGAAACACTTGAACGGATTCCCATTGTTACATAATAAAAACCGTTGTACAGCTGGAGGCGTTACCATGATGATGATACCTCGTATTTTCACTATTGTACAACACATCGCGTAGCACAGCTCTAGAGCAAAGCCATTTAACCTGTGACTCCTGAGTAACCAGCTACATGGTTGAGTAGTAAAACTGTTGAACCTGTGACTCCTGAGTAACCAGCTACATGGTTGAGGTAGTAAAAATGTTGAACCTGTGACTCCAGAGTAACCAGCTACATGGTTCAGTAGTCAAAGTGTTGAACCTGTAACACCTAAGTAACCAACTACATGGTTGAGGTAGTAAAAATGTTGAACCTGTGACTCCTGAGTAACCAGCTACATGGTTGAGGTAGTAAAAGTGTTAAAATGTTACTATTAACTTTTCTCACTCTACATCTACCTATTTAACCATCTATCTGAGTGTACATATTTTAATTTCGTGCACACAGTTCGTAGCGGATGTTATTTTTCCTTACCACAGGATATGGAGCTAGAGATGGTCACGTGCTCTCAGATAATAGGTTTCACGGTGAACGAGTTAGCATCCAGCGGAGATTTGAAAGAGGAGCGAATGTTTCGAAATCACTTGGCGTGTAAACATCAGTGCCAAGCGTTAATGTTGTCAGATAAGCCATTCTGTTGAGTGAAATTAAGTTTTAAAAGCTTGACGGTACCAAGTCCGTGACAATATTCGGTATTTGAGGTCCCTTTCTGCTCGGAAGTGAAAATAAATTAACTATCGAACTATAACGCTATGTTCTAAATGACTCCATCATGCCATACGATAAAATCAAATCTATGGAAAACAAAACAACTTAATAGCAATATCAAAAATAATAACGGTTAATTAAGCCACTTCAACGAAACAAATAGTTTTCGTATAAATTCAAACTTTATTCGAAGCTTCGTATTGAAATATTACAGTACTAGCAACGGTATGAAATGTTATTCTTCTGACCTTTTATTTACGTTCCAGTCAAATTTAAGGAAACGTGTTTCACTTCTTGCTTAAAAGAAGGCTTAAACAAAGGAGAATATACTTAAACGGCGTTGTTAATGAACTGCATCTGTTTATGAAGTATTTTGGACAACGTTTCGAGCTTCTTGCGCAAATCTTCATCAGGTCAAATTGTTCAGACTTCTTCGGGTAGAAGTGCAGCTCTGGTCGTGAGTTGGTAGTACAACAAAGTAGAGATATTGTGAGCAATCTAGATAGCAGGTTATACTCGTGATGTCTGACGCCTCTGACATACGCATTCTTAACTCATGTAAATACACATTTGGAGCATTTAAACGTATAGAAAAAGTGCGTCGTACATTACTAAAAAACTGTGCAAATTAAGTAAATTATGTTTTTTTTTCAACGATGTATTTATTACAATAAGCATGAATTTAACAAAATTGAAAATGTTGTTTAATATTAAATAAGTCCGATTTACGTTATATTTCTTTGTTGGTTTTGGATACTTACGCAAAGCTACACAAAGTCAATGTACGCTAATCGCTACTTTTGAAGAGATAGACAAGAGCGAAGAGAGCTAGTCAACATTGCTCTCATCGAATAGTGGAATTTGACCGCCACTCTTATAACGCACCCACGCCCTAAAGTGCGATTGTTGTTTTCACACAGATACAGTAACAGGATTTATTGGTAGATATGAACCTTAACCCTATAACTCATAAACGTCACGAAATCTGAAACATAGACACTTCAAATATATGATATATTTATTTCATCTTTTAGAACATATATTAATTTTTTTTGGTGAACATATTATTTATAAAACATCAAAAACCATTATGTAGCACAACAATTTACTATGCACTTACGCGAGCTTTGTGTAATGGCTGATAGTCACTTGATGTATGTATGATTAGTATTAGTAGGCTTAAGGACCATAAGTTAGGCTACTTTGTTAAAATAAATGGTGCAGTAAACAAAATGTCTAAAGTACTAAACCTAATATAAATAGATAGCATTTGTCTCACATAATTGTATAAATGATATCTATTTATGATGTATATAATAATCAAGCTAGCATTTGATGAAAAACGTGTAACCAAGACGGTGAAGTTACGTTTGTTAATATTATACGAATACAAAATACGTCGTTTGGCGTGCATTGTTCTTTTGGCCTAAGGATCAAATTACAAAACAAAAGAAACTGTATGTAAAAAAATAATTTTAAGGGTAATAACTTCAATAAAATAAACAAACGTGCAAGGAATCATATTAAGTTGATTCATTACCTTTCGGTGACTTCTAAACAACAGAATACCATTAGGAAATCAAAACAAAAAAATTATCTTAACATTACAGTTCACCTCCATATTGCTAAATTTGTATTTCTTGTGTTCTTAAAAGCAAAGAACCCTAGTTCTATGGAAATTATATTGCGCGAAAGAAAATAATCCCAGGTTTCATATGATATAATTAATAATGTATAGGATTACACACCTTTAGGAACAAGAAATTTGTAAATAAATGCATTACAATAGTTTATTAATGTTTTTTAAAGTCATTTTCAATCACCAATAAAGTAACCTAAAATATTTTAGGTGTTTGAATAATGTTAGATCTTGTGCCTAAATTATTATTTCATGTTATATATTGAACCAGGTGTTTAATAATTAAATATATCTGCTTTGGACTTCTTTTCAGAAATCTGTAGCAGATATATGTAATCATTACAACAGTTTGTTTTTACAGTTCTTGATACTACAAGTTTAAAAATTCACTACTTTAAAACAACTATGAGTAGAAATTTGTTCTATAATTGTATTAAATTTACACATTCCCAACAATGTTCTGTTGACAAGTTTTTCTCTGCATGGGTGAGAAACTGATTGTTACCGCCATAGATATAAATGATATTAGAATGGAAGTCACGTGATTTTCGGCAAGCGCAAGCGGCCGCCATTGCCACCTGTTGAACTTTCAAAGCCCACCAGTTGAACTGACGATGGCAAGGTGATCTCACCTCACAACTTATGGCCATATCCCATCTAAACTAGACATTTGGATAATTATATGATTTGATTTTAATAAATTTGTCAAGCCAAGATGATCTAAACCTGATTTTAACTTACAAATTAGAGCAAAAATCGTTTTAAAACACACATATCTGACCTGTCGTATGAAGAATGCACTGGATTTTAGCCCAGAGGGAAATTTTAAGATTAAAATGTGTTCTTTTTCTTCGGGGTTTATTATGTGTCACAGAAAAATATGCATATCAAATATTGTTGCCAATGGATGAGAGGTAGCTCGTCATGTCCTTTTCTTGAGGGTGGAGAAGAATGTTATTTATGTATCTGCACCTTCAAACATTCAACGTTCTTAATTGAAGTGGGTGGAAATAATTAAGAAACTTTATGATATAAATATAATAAAATTCATCCGGATTTATTTGATAATTTGTGACAACAATTGATACAAAGCTTGAAATATATATATATATATAACATGAAATCTAAAAGTGACACAAATCATTACACCTATTTCATCAATAATGCATTACATATACTGTACTAGATCTAAAGACAATAAATTTAGCAATATTACTCTTTTATTTAAATACTTACTTTTCCTCTTTTTACCGAGTTATGATCAATCGTCATGTTCTCCTCCCCTCCCATCACCTACTAGATCTTTTTGGATCTGAGCCCCTTCCCTCCAAATGGTCTCTGCTAGGTCTTATAATTAAAGACTTGAAATGTAGGAGAAAAATCTTAGCTACAACCCTCCTAATTTTTTTTTTTTTTTTTTTTTGCAACTTAAGTCGTGTACATAACCAATCTCTTATTTGTGAAACCCAGTTTAAAGTATTTCGCTAATATTATTATTCTGTAATCAGAACAAAACCTTTTGGATGAAATGCTAACATTCTACTCATTAGAAGAGTGGCTCTCAAGACCACCCTGCCATTAAGACCATTCCCCATAGTACTATTTACCTTTGAATGTTAACATAACAAAATCAGGTTACTTAATTATGCAAAACATTTTATTTTACATGAAAATCATATATTACCGGTTTAGTACAAGACATGTGCAGATTGAAGCATGAAAATAGTGTTTACATTTGATCTGATGTGTTTAACTGATGTTTACTTTAGAAACATATGACAAGTTATGAAATTACAAATTATATAAACTTTCATGAGCAAATAAAATTGTAAGTTTTAAGTAGGTCAAATTTATTGGTATATACTTAAGTAATTAAAAACAAATGAGACGTGTCACTTTTCGTTACCATTCTATTAGTCCGGTGTTGTCTAATCCGCATACTATAATGTATGTCCAAAATAACAGTTCCTCGAGTATTCTAACTATAACAATCCCCTTGAGTGTTACAACACTAACTGTTCCTCGAGTATTCCAACGTTAACAATATCCTTGAATGTTCTAACACTAACAGTTCCTCGAGTATTCCAACGTTAACAATCACCTTGAGTGTTCTAACACTAACAGTTCCTCGAGTATTCTAACGTTAACAATATCCTTGAGTGTTACTACCTCAACCATGTAGCTGGTTACTCAGGAGTCACAGGTTCAACATTTTACTACCTCAACCATGTAGCTGGTTACTCAGGAGTCACAGGTTCAACATTTTACTACCTCAACCATGTAGCTGGTTACTCAGGAGTTACAGGTTCAACATTTTTACTACCTCAACTATGTAGCTGGTTACTCAGGAGTCACAGGATCAACATTTTTACAACCTCAACCATGTAGCTGGTTACTCAGGAGTCACAGGTTCAACATTTTTACTACCTCAACCATGTTGCTGGTTACTCAGGAGTCACAGGTTAAACACTTTACTACCTCAACCATGTAGTTGGTTACTTAGGTGTCACAGGTTCAACATTTTACTACCTCAACCATGTAGCTGGTTACTCAGGAGTCACAGGTTCGACATTTTTACTACCTCAACCATGTAGCTGGTTACTCAGGAGTCACAGGTTCAACATTTTTACTACCTCAATCATGTAGCTGGTTACTCAGGAGTCACAGGTTCGACATTTTTACTACCTCAACCATGTAGCTGGTTACTCAGGAGTCACAGGTTCGACATTTTTACTACCTCAACCATGTAGCTGGTTACTCAGGAGTCACAGGTTCGACATTT